TGCTCCTGTGTGGTCTGCCGTGCTCCTGTGGTCTGCCGTGCTCATTTGGGGTTTCCCGCGAGCTTGTGGGGTCTGCCGTGCTCCTGTGGGGAAACGCCAGCGGCGTTCGGGGTACAACAAAAGGCGCGTTTATGTTGTACCTGCGCGCGGTCTGCCGTGCTCCTGTGGGGATTGCCGTGCTCCTGTGTGGTCTGCCGTGCTCCTGTGTGGTTTGCCGTGCTCCTGTGGTCTGCCGTGCTCCTTTGTGGTTTGCCGTGCTCCTGTGGGGTCTGCCGTGCTCCTGTGGGGTCTGCCGTGCTCCTGTGAGGTCTGCGGTGCTCTTGTGTGGTCTGCAGTGCTTCTGTGGTCTGCCGTGCTCATTTGGGATCTGCCGTGCTCGTGTGGTGTCTGCCGTGCTCCTGCGGGATCTGCTGTGCTCCTTGTGTAGTCTCTTTGGTCTGCCGTGCTCCTTTGTGGTCTGCCGTGCTCTTGTGGGGTCTGCCGTGCTCCTGTGTGGTCTGCCGTGCTCCTTTTTTTCCGCCTGCCGTGCTCCTGCTCATTTTCTGAGGACGTCCCGAGCGAAAACGTCATTTTTTAACATAAGAGGTTGTAAAACACCTTTGTCGGCATCTCATTTTTTCGAGGATGTCTCGAGCGAAACGCTCATTTTTCATGCACAACAAAAATCCTTGACATTTTTCAACACCCCGACTTTCTGAGGATGTCTCAGGCGAAACCGTCATTTTTAACATAAGACGTCTTAAACGATAGCCTCCAACACCTCGATTTTAGGAGGATGTCTCGAGCGAAATGGCCATTTTTGGGAACCTGACCGGACAAGAACGGGAAGCGTCCTTTTGTCCCCTGGGCTTATGAGATATTCCACGTTTTTAGTACGGCATACCACAGCAGTGCCACGTACCACTGCCGTGCTTCTTTGGGGTCTGCCGTGCTCCTGTGGAGTTTGCCGTGCGAACGTGTGGTCTGCCGTGCTCCTGTGTGGTCTGGCGTGCTCCTGTATGGTCTGCCGTGCTCTTGTGTGGTTTGCCGTGCTCCTGTGTGGTCTGCCGTGCTCCCGTGGGGTCTGCCGTGTCCTGTGTGGTCTGCCGTGCTCCTGTGTGGTCTGCCGTGCTCCTGTGTGGTCTGCCGTGCTCCTTCTTGGTCTGCCGTGCTCATGTGGGGTCTGCCGTGCTCCTGTGCGGTCTGCCGTGCGAACGTGTGGACTGCCGTGCTCATTTGGGGTCTGCCTTGCTCCTTTGTGGTTTGCCGCGCTCCTGTGTGGTGCCGGCCCAGGCGTTCGGCTCGAGCGCCGGCCCGGGTGCCGGAAGCGGCCCGGAAGGGGTTCCCGGACGCCGGGAGCAGAAAATCAATATTTTCGAAAGAAAAATATGTCTTGGAGTGGCCTTTTTTCGGCACCGCCTCGGAATTCAATTTTCCGGCGCCGGCCGGCGCCGGAACCGGCCCGGGCGCTGGCCCGGGTGCTGGCCGGGCGTTTGGCTCGAGCGCCGGCCCGGGTGCCAGAAGCGGCCCGGAAGGGGTTCCCGGGCGCCGGGAGCAGAAAATCAATATTTCGAAAGAAAAATATGTCTTGGAGTGGCCTTTTTTCGGCACCGCCTCGGAATTCAATTTTCCGGCGCCGGCCGGCGCCGGAACCGGCCCGGGCGCTGGCCCGGGTGCTGGCCCGGGCGTTCGGCTCGAGCGCCGGCCCGGGTGCCGGAAGCGGCCCGGAAGGGGTTCCCGGGCGCCGGGAGCAGAAAATCAATATTTCGAAAGAAAAATATGTCTTGGAGTGGCCTTTTTTCGGCACCGCCTCGGAATTCAATTTTCCGGCGCCGGCCGGCGCCGGAACCGGCCCGGGCGCTGGCCCGGGTGCTGGCCCGCGTTTGGCTCGAGCGCCGGCCCGGGTGCCAGAAGCGGCCCGGAAGGGGTTCCCGGGCGCCGGGAGCAGAAAATCAATATTTTCGAAAGAAAAATGTGTCTTGGAGTGGCTTTTTTTCGGCACCGCCTCGGAATTCAATTTTCCGGCGCCGGCCGGCGCCGGAACCGGCCCGGGCGCTGGCCCGGGTGCTGGCCCAGGCGTTCGGCTCGAGCGCCGGCCGGGTGCCTGCACTGTCTGCCGTGCTCCTGTGGCGTCTGCCGTGCTCCTGTGTGGTCTGCCGTGCTCCTGTGGTCTGCCGTGCTCATTTGGGGGTTCCCGCGAGCTTGTGGGGTCTGCCGTGCTCCTGTGGGGGAAACGCCAGCGGCGTTCGGGGTACAACAAAAGGCGCGATTATGTTGTACCTGCGCGCGGTCTGCCGTGCTCCTGTGGGGATTGCCGTGCTCCTGTGTGGTCTGCCGTGTTCCTGTGTGGTTTGCCGTGCTCCTGTGGTCTGCCGTGCTCCTTTGTGGTTTGCCGTGCTCCTGTGGGGTCTGCCGTGCTCCTGTGGGGTCTGCCGTGCTCCTGTGAGGTCTGCGGTGCTCTTGTGTGGTCTTCAGTGCTTCTGTGGTCTGCCGTGCTCATTTGGGATCTGCCGTGCTCGTGTGGTGTCTGCCGTGCTCCTGCGGGATCTGCTGTGCTCCTTGTGTCGTCTCTTTGGTCTGCCGTGCTCGTGTGCTCGTGTGGGGTCTGCCGTGCTCCTGTGTGGTCTGCCGTGCTCCGGTGGTCTGCCGTGCTCCTTTTTTTCCGCCTGCCGTGCTCCTGTTCCTGAGGACGTCCCTAGCGAAAACGGGACATTTTTAATTTTTTACATAAGAGGTTGTAAAACACCTCTGTCGGCATCTCATTTTTTCGAGGATGTCTCGAGCGAAACGCTCATTTTTCATGCACAACAAAAAATTTTGACATTTTTCAACACCCCGACTTTCTGAGGATGTCTCGAGCGAAACCGTCATTTTAACATAAGACGTCTTAAACGATAGCCTCCAACACCTCGATTTTTCGAGGATGTCTCGAGCGAAATGGCCATTTTGGGGAACCTGACCGGACAAGAACGGGAAGCGCCGTTTTTTATCCACCACGTGCGTCAGAGACCGTATTGGCGAGAACGTCAGAGAAACCCATAAACGCAACAGAACAGACTAAATGATGGCCTGCCGCGTTCCGACGGCCCAAGACGGCCCAAGAGGCCCCCAAGATCGCTTTAAGATCGCCCAAGAGGCCTTCAAGATGGCCCCGAAACGGCCCAAGAAGTCCCCAAGACGGTCCCAAGAGGGCCCTAACACGGCGCAAGAGGCCTCCAAGACGCCCAAGATGTCTTCCAAGACGGCCAAGATGGCCTCCAAGACGGCTAAGATGGCTCCAAGAGGGCCCCAAGACGGCCCAAGAGGCCTCGAAGACGGTCTGCCGTGCTCCTGTGGTCTGCCGTGCTCCTTTGGGGTCTGCCGTGCTCCTGTGGAGTTTGCCGTGCGAACGTGTGGTCTGCCGTGCTCCTGTGTGGTCTGGCGTGCTCCTGTATGGTCTGCCGTGCTCTTGTGTGGTTTGCCGTGCTCCTGTGTGGTCTGCCGTGCTCCCGTGGGGTCTGCCGTGTCCTGTGTGGTCTGCCGTGCTCCTGTGTGGTCTGCCGTGCTCCTGTGTGGTCTGCCGTGCTCCTTCTTGGTCTGCCGTGCTCATGTGCGGTCTGCCGTGCTCCTGTGCGGTCTGCCGTGCGAACGTGTGGACTGCCGTGCTCATTTGGGGTCTGCCTTGCTCCTTTGTGGTTTGCCGCGCTCCTGTGTGGTCTGCCGTGCTCCTGTGTGGTCAGCAGACCCAGGGCTGAGGGAAGGCTGGAGCAGTGCTCTGGTGGTCCATCACCCGCCCAGCTCCGTCCCCTCCCACTCTGGACCGATCTTGCGGGAAGCTGGCTTGTGGCAGCGCATCGCGCGTCCATAGCGTTCGTGTGCTTGCTTTTACCTCCTTTAATGTCTGCTCCACCTCTCCTTGAGACGCAGAAGCCTCCGAGCGCCGGGAGCAGAAATGATGCACTTTCGAAAAATCTGTTTGGATGAGTTTTGTTAGCGCGGCCTCGGAATTCAATTTTTCCGGCGACGGCCAGAGCCGACGCCAGCGCTGGATCCGGCTCGGCCGCCAGCCCAGGTGCCGGCCCGGGCGTTCGGTTCGAGCGCCGGCCTGGGTGCCGGAATCGGCCCGGAAGGGGTTCCAGGGCGCCGGGAGCAGAAAATCAATATTTTCGAAAGAAAAATATGTCTTGGAGTGGCCTTTTTTCGGCACCGCCTCGGAATTCAATTTTCCGGCGCCGGCCGGCGCCGGAACCGGCCCAGGCTGCCGTGCTCCTGTGTGGTCAGCCGTGCTCCTGAGGCGTCTACGGTGCTCTTTTGGGGTCTGCCGTACTCATTTGGGGTCTGCCGTGCTCCTGTGGTCGGCCGTGCTCATTTGGGGTCTGCCGCGCGCCTGTGAGATCTGCCGTGCTCCTGTTGGGGAAACGCCAGCGGCGTTCGGGGTACAACAAAAAGGCGCGTTTATGTTGTACCCGCGCGCGGTCTGCCGTGCTCCTGTGGGTTCCGCCGTGCTCCTGTGGCGTCTGCCGTGCTCCTGTGGCGTCTGCCGGGCTCCTGTGTGGTCTGCCGTGCTCCTTTGTGGTCTGCCGTGCTCCTGTGGAGTCTGCCGTACTCCTGTGTGGTCTGCCGTGCTCTTGTGGTCTGCCGTGCTCATTTGGGATTTGCCGTGCTCATGTGGGGTCTGCCGTACTCCTGTGTGGTGTGGTGGGGCCTCTAAAGGCTGGAAAAAGGGTGAGCCCGAGGCTCTCAGGAGCCTCCAGGGCCAGCAGGAGGGGGCCGCTTCGGGCCGCCCTCCCCGAGGGGCCGCTTCGGGCCAACCTCCAGCACACCCTCACGAGGGGCCGCTTCGGGCCTCCCCGAGGGCAGGCCGCCAGGGCCAACGGGGGCGCCTAGGCCCCAGGGCCACGAGGGCGGGCGGTGCCGAGAGGCATGCACTCACAGACCCCGAAGCTACGTGACAACAGCGTAGTGTTGCAAGCTCACGTACACATTCAAATACAAGAAATGCGAATGCACGGAGCAAACGGAATTAGCGTCCGCACGCAAGGCTAACCGTCCTGCACCTGGGCCTCGCCAGCCCCGCCTCCGCGCGGGGGGGCCTCCTCCGACTCCTCCTCGAAGGCCGTGCCGATGACGACGGGACGCAGGTCGAAGCGGACGCGACGGGCGCGCCGCCCCGTGCTTGCACCTCGCTTCCTGCGGACGCGGCTGCCCTCGAAACCAGCGCCTGGACCAGTACCGCCAGCCACAGGAGCCGCGAGGGCCCCGCCGCCTCCCGAGAGGAGCGCCGCAGGGTGAGCGCGCAGGTACGCCATAACCGCAGTGCTGGCCTGTGGCGCCGCCTCCGACACCGAGCAGGTCGTATCCACGTCAGAGGCATTCACACAATCATCGGCACGCTCAGGCCGAATAGACCCAGGTACACCATGCAGAGAAGTCGGATCCCCAGCAGATCCCTCCGGAAATTCGTCTGCAGGGGCAGGAAAGGACCGATACTGCAGAAGACGATGGCGATGCTCGTCCGCACCAGGCTCATAAACGGCTTGCTCGGCAGGGTAGTCCACAGAAACGTCAGCTGCTAGGTGTGCATGCTGTTCTACACACTCAGGTGGGCCTTCAGCAGACTCTGCTTCAGGTTGGACAGCTTCAGCACGAGATGCCTGGGCAGTCAGATGACCGAGCTCGCGAAGCAGGATCTCCGCCTGTTCGCCCACAAAGGTCGGCATGAACTGCTCGAAAAGGTCCGAGCCCTGTGGAACGAAAACTGGGGCCTCAGGATTCCAAACGAAGCCCTCTTGTCTGCACTCCAGTCGCGGCCCCTTCTGGAGGCTCTTGAGAGCATGCACTCCTGCGCTGGCGATGCTCACACCAGAAGCGTCGGAGTGCAGCGCCACGTTCCGCCTGAGGACGCTGACGTGGCTTGGGAGGCGTCCACGCAGCAAATCCTGGAGTGCTGGCGCCAGTGCCAAAAGGCGGTCGGCCAGCTCCGCATCGCCTCCGGCCAGGGCGCCCACGAAGTCGAGCAACTGCACGTGCTGCTCCCTGATACGACCAAGCTCTTCCGATAGCTTGGAGACCGCTCTATCCGCTGAGCGAACGGCCCAGAGCCGTGCGGCCTTGCGATCTTGTGCCGTTCTCCTCGGCGCGCATTCCGCGCCGTCCCGTATCGCCATTCCGCGCCCGAGCAAGCATGCTAGATCGCGAACTGACTTGAGCCAAAATGGCTACGGCCGTACTCCTGTGTGGTCTGCCGTGCTCCGGTGGTCTGCCGTGCTCCTTTGGGGTCTGCCTTGCTACTGTGGGGTCTGCCGTGCTCCTGTGTGGTCTGCCGTGCTCCTGTGGTTTGCCTTGCTCCTGTGTGGTCTGCCGTGCTCCTTTTGGGTCTGCTCTGCCGTGCTCCTGTGGGGTCTGCCGTGCTCCTGTGGGGTCTGCCGTGCTCTTGTGGGGTCTGCCGTGCTCTTGTGTGGTCTGCCGTGCTCCTTTGTGGTCTGCCGTGCTCCTGTGTGGTCTGCCGTGCTCCTGTGTGGCCTGCCGTGCTCTTGTGTGAGCTGTGAGCTGCGGGGCCTATGAAGGCTAAAAGGAGCCCGAGGCCCACGGAGCCCGTTGGCCCCAGGGCCTCAAGGGCCAACCCTAGGGGCCCCGAAGGAGCCTCCGCAGGGGAGGGCGCGAAGCGCCAAACGCGCGAAGCGCAAGATTTCAAAGAAATCAAGACAGCAGCGGAGACTGAGGCACGCAAAGCACGGCCAGGAAGTCTGCCTCGCTGCAAATGAGACGCGAGGCCCACCTTCTCAACAAGTGACGAAGGGCCTCACGAACCTCGAGGTGAGGCCAGCACACGCATTGCAAAGCCAAACGGGCCTGACCTCACGTGGGGGCTGAAACACACAACGGGCCTCGCCGAGGTCCCTGCCCCCGCTCCTAGAACTCATGCCAGGCGAGGCGGCCCCCAGACTCTTGGAGGACGAACGGCAGGCCTGCCCTGCACCTCACCCCGACGGAGTCAATCTCCAGCCACCCTGCCTTCCAGCGCAGGAGCTGCACTTCCTTCTTAGCAGCCCCCAGCTGCTCCTGCAGGGAGCAAATGTGAGCCACCTTTGACCAGTCGGCGAGCCATCGCCGCACTTCGCCCTCAGCGTCCTCGGTCGGCACGGCCAGCTCAGCGAATCCCGCGGCAGTTCGACCGCCGTCTCCGTCTCCACGGAGGAGTGCGGCTTCGTTCACGCCGAGGTAGGTCGCGATCGCTCCACTGAGCGCCGACGCAGCGGTGGCGGAGCAGGCAGTAGCAGCATCGCCGTCGGCATGCTCCTGCCCCTGGCCGCCTACGCTGTCGTCGTCGCTGTCGTTGTGGCTGACGGCCTCGCCCAGACGGCCACTGACGGACAACAGCAGCGGCGAGGACTCGCCAGCCGCGGGCACGGCATGGTCCCCGAAGGCGCCGCCGTCGTCCCCGTCGCCGCCGCCCTCGCTCCCGCCGTCGCTTGTGTGGTCCGAGCACGAGGTGTCCGCGTCGGCCTCGCCGTCCAGGGTAACGTCGTCGACGTCTGAGCCATCGCAAGACGCGCCTGGCACACCAGCAGTGGCACCACCGTCAGCATCGGATGCGGGAGGCAGCGGCGCACGGCCTGCAGTACCTCCAGGGCACACATCATCCGCCTGCACAATACCCACAATACCAGCGGCGGCACGGCAGGAAGAGAACAGAACTGCTCCACAAGAGCACAAAACGCCTACGTCGCTCCGTCGCTGGCTGCCGCTGCCCGACAGCAGGAAAGGCTCAACAGACGACCTCAGCGGCGTGCGTCCCGTGCCGACCTCCTCGGTGCCGCTCTTCACCACTCCGCCGTCGTCCCAGCGTCCCGGGGGCCGAAGCGGCCAGAAGAGGTCGGCATCGCGCCGCAGCGTGTCCACGTACCCGCTAGGCTGCACGTGGCCCTCGCTCTCCGCGTGCACGGCGGCGCGGGCAGCGGAATCCGCCAGAAGGGCGGCCTCGACGTCGGCGACGTGCGAGACCGCCGAGCCAGTCGGGAAATCCCTCGACTCAGACAGGAGCGACCGCGGGCGCGGGAGCCGCGGGCCGCGCTGGGCGATCCGCCAGGCGCGCCGCGGAGCTCCAGGCCGCGGGAGGTTCTGCGCGTGGCAGCCGACGTTCCGCTCTAGTATCCTGCCCTCCTGTAGCTGCTCGCCCTTCTCCTGCGCGATAAGCACGTCTGCCGTGCTCCTGTTGGTCTGCCGTGCTCTTCTGTGGTCTGACGTGCTCCTATGGGGTCTGCCGTTGTTCGGCCGTCTTGAGGGCACTCTGAGGGCATAGTCTGCCGTGCTCCTCGTCTTGGTCTGCCGTGTTCCTCGTCTTGGTCATCCTTTCCGTCGTCTTGAGGGCGCTCTTGGTGCCTGGTCTGCCGTGCTCCTCGTCTTGGTCTGCCGTGCTCCTCTCGGTTCCTAAGCCTGGTCTGCCGTGCTCCTCGTCTTGGTCTGCCGTGCTCCTCTCGGTTCCTACGCGCGGTCTGCCGTGCTCCTGTGGGGAGCACGGCAGACCACAGGAGCACGGCAGACCACACAGGAGCACGGCAGACCACACCTCGATTTTTTGAGGATGTCTCGAGCGAAATGGCCGTGGTCTGCCGTGCTCCACACAGGAGCACGGCAGACCACCTGCTCATTTTCTGAGGACGTCCCGAGCGAAAACGTCATTTTTAACATAAGAGGTTCTAAAACACCTCTGTCGGCATCTCATTGTTTCGAGGATGTCTCGAGCGAAACGCTCATTTTTCATGCATAACAAAAATTTTTGATATTTTTCAACATCCCGATTTTTTGAGGATGTCTCGAGCGAAACCGTCATTTTTAACATAAGACGTCTTAAACGATAGCCTCCAACACCTCGATTTTTCGAGGATGTCTCGAGCGAAATGGCCATTTTGGGGAATCCGCCAACGAAAACCCCGTGCGCCCGCGCAACCCATAGATATAAAGATATATATATATATATATATATTTACTCAAGGATTCAGCCAGAACGTCCCGCTTGCTTCTCGTACCTCGAAGACGCTCCCGTCATCCGCCAACGAAAATCCCGTGCAGCGCGGCAACCCATAGATATAAAGATATATATATATATATATATATATATACTCAAGGATTCAGCCAGAACGTCCCGCTTGCTTCTCGTACCTCGAAGACGCTTCCCGTCATCCGCCAACGAATGATCCCGTGCAGCGCGGCAACCCATATATAAAGATATATATATATATATATATATTATATATATATATATATATATAATTATATATATATATATATATATATATATATATATATTTACTCAAGGATTCAGCCAGAACGTCCCGCTTGCTTCTCGTACCTCGAAGACGCTTCCCGTCATCCGCTAAGCCGGTTCCCCGTGCACCCCGCCACCCCCTATAGTTAAGATATCTCTTACAGATACGAGGCGGATTCAGCCAAAACGTCCAACTGCCTTCTCGTACCTCGAAGACGCTTCCCGTCATCCGCCCCCCCCCCCCCCCCCCCCTTGCGGGGCCACCAGGCTGCGAGGATTAAGGTTGCTGCTCCCTGCACCAGTTCCAGCTTCCAGCTTCAATTGTTACAGTACTGCTTTCTGCTTCCTACTGTAAAATGTTACTGTCCGCGCGAGGGGGGAGCCGAAAAGGGCCCTGGTTAGTGTCCCCAGGGACGGTTCTCAGAATTCCCAGGGGGGAGTGGGACACGTAGAAATACATGCGATTCGTGCCCCCGAAGCCACGATCCCTCGCAAATTACGAAGGTCCCGCCCCCGAGGCCAGAATGCCTTGTAGATTACGCCACATTCGCGCCCCCGAAACCACGATCCCTTGTGAATAACACCACATTCGCGCCCACGACGCCAGAATCTCATGCAAATTAATTTAATTCGCGTTCCCGAAGCGACAAACCGTTGTAAATTGCACAACGGGCGCGCCCCCGAGGCCACGAATCCGCCCCGCGGAGGCTGCCGAAAAGGCGCTCCCCCTCCCCAGTAGAAAAACTATAATTTTCTGTGTTGGGATATGTGTTCCGCTGGTATTGTTTTGCCCCCCCGCCATTTCTTGAAAATTCTGCGGTGGGCTCCACACTCGCGCCCCCCAGGCCACGATCCCTCGTAAATTACACCACGCTCGCGCCCCCGAGACCACGATCCCTTGTAAATTACTCCAAATTCGCGCCCCCGAGGCCACGACCCCGAGTAAATTACGCCAAATGAGCGCCCCCGAGGCCACGACCCGTGGTAAATTACGCCGCAGTCGCGCACCCGAGGCCACGCGATCCCTAACGAATTACGCCCAATTCGCGCCCCCCAGGCCACGATCCCATGCAAATTACGCCACATTCGCGCCCTCGATGCCACGATCCCGCGTAAATTACGCTGGATGCGCCCCCCCAGGCTACGAATCCACCTCGCGGAGGCTGCCCAAAGACGACACTCCTTTTCCTGAGCAGAAAAACTACAATGTCTCCAAATACTGCCTGAAACAATCAACCCCCAGCCTTTCCCAGAGCGCTTCCACTTAGCAACTAGAGGAACATGGTCTAAGAAGACAACAAAGCGTTCAACAATGATTTCAGAATCTCGATATGTTTTGCTCATCGCCAGCCGCCCTAGCATGACGCTCCCGAGTGTTATCAAGACGGTGCCCAGACATCCCAATATAGCTCTGATGTATCCCATTATGATAGAGAGGGGGCCGGCGGCAGGGGGCGAAGCCCTTACGGATAAATAACTGGCGGGGGCGGATTTAGCAGAACGAGATCTTTAGCACCGCACCGAACCGCAAAAACAAATAATATTCCCCGCCTCACGCGATCGACATCTACAGTAAGGGTTGGCGATAAGAACGCAAGAGCCTGACCGCCGAAGATAGCAAAACTGTCAACACTCTAGGGGCTGGACGGTGAAAACCCTCCTTTCCTCCTTCCTCCTCCTTTTCTCTTTCTCCTCGCCGCCCCTTCCATATGCAATTCCTACTGGAATCCCCAAGGAGCAATTGATTGTCGTCGACCGTCTTAGGGGGTGGTTGACCCCAGGGTATCGCACCCGCCCCTCACGAAGCGTTATATTCGCACTGGTGCGCGCCGAAAATGAATTGTCGCCACCGACTTAACTGTACAAGTGATCGTAGTAGTATCACTCGGAAGTAATCGCAGTAGTAGGAGTAGTAGTCGTAGTAGTAGTAGACATACATTTAATGGTGGTAGTGATAATAGAAGAAAAAAGATGAAGTCGTAGTAGGGGTAGCAATACTCGTGATACTCGTACAAGTAGCCGTGGGAGTCGTAGTACCAGAATAGATGGTGGTACTTATCAAACTGACGTGGTAGTAGTCGTCGTAGTAGTAGAAGAAGCAGTGGTAGTAGTAGTAGTAGTAGTAGTAGTAGTAGTAGTAGTAGTAGTAGTAGTAGTAGTAGTAGTAACAGTAGTAGTAGTATTAGTAGTAGTAGTAGTAGTATTAGTCGTAGTAGTAGTAGTAGTAGCAGTAGTAGTAGTCGTAGTAATAATAGTAATAATTTTACTAGCAAACATAGTAATGGCAGTACGTAAACGTAATCATCGTAAGCTTAGTAAGAGTAGTTGGGGTAGTAGTAATAGTCCTTGCAATGGTCGAAGCAGCAGTAGTCGTAACATTAATCGCAGCAGTGATGGTAGTCGTAGTAGTAGTAGTAGTAGTAGTAGTAGTAGTAGTAGTCGTAGTCGTAGTAGTAGTAGTAGTAGTAGTAGTAGTAGTAGTAGTAGTAGTAGTAGTCGTAGTCGTAGTCGTAGTAGTAGTAGTAGTAGTAGTAGTAGTAGTAGTAGTAGTAGTAGTAGTAGTAGTAGTAGTAGTAGTAGGTAGTAGTGGTCGTATCACTAGTCATCGTAGTAATGGTGATGGTAGTAGTAGAGGTAGTAGCCGTAGCAGAAATAGTCGTAGTAGTAAGGTAGTCGTAGTATCAGTAGTCGTAGTAGTAGTAGTAGTAGTAGTAGTAGTTGTAGTAGTAGTAGTAGTAGTAGTAGTAGTAGTAGTAGTGGTAGTAGTAGTACAAGTAGAAGTCGTAGTAGTAGTAGTAATAGTAGTAGTAGTAGTAGTAGTAGTAGTAGTAGTAGTAGTAGTTGTAGTAGTCCTATTATTATGAGTGAACATAGTACGAAGACGAAGAAGTGATAGTGCCACCAGTAGTAACAAACTTAGTAGTAGTGGTAGTAGTAGTACTACTACTACTACTACTGCTAGTAGTAGTCATGGTTGTAGTAGTTCGTTGTAGTTGCAGTAGACGTAATAGTAGACTAGTAGTAGTAGTAGTAGCAGTAGTAGTAGTAGTAGCAGTAGTAGTAGTAGTAGTAGTACTAGTACTAGTAATAGTCATAGTAGTAGTCGCACACGTACTTGGAATAGTAGTAGTAGTAGTAGTAGTAGTCGTAGTAGTCGTAGTAGTCGTAGTAGTAGTAGTAGTAGTAGTAGTAGTAGTAGTAGTAGTAGTTTACTTGTACTGGTACCAAAGTTAGTTGAGTAACAGCAGTAGTAGTCTTTATAGTAGTAGTCGTCATAATCACAGTAGTGGGGGTAGTACTGGTATGAGTACGAGTACGAGTACTAGTACAAGCAGTAGTGATAGAGGTAGTAGTAGAGAAAGAAGTACTAGAAGTAGTCGTCGTCGTAGTAGTAGTAGTAAGATCGACAATCGAGGTGTTCGTTCGTTTCCGGGGAGGTTCGCGGAGCCTCTGGGCACTCCGCGGACCTCTGAAGGCCAGGGGTCCCTGTGTAAGGGACCAGGCGGGGGTCGGCGGCCTTCGTACCTCGCGCTGCGAAGAGACGCGATGCGTGATACGCCCCCGAGCTGAGGCACGGAGGAAGGAGGAGCCCGCTTCTTCTGTGATTCGCGACAAGGCCGGTGAACGGCCCCCACTGACCAAGACCGCATCCACCCAACAACTCGGGGCCCGAGTGCGCAAAATCGATCTGCCGCGCGAGGAGTGGCCCCAGAAGGCAACGCAGCAAGATCACCAGGGCCGTCAGACGCGTTGCAAGG